GGGACCCGAGGTTCTGAGGTAAACCACGAAATCACACTGCAACACTTTCCATTATTCCATAATTCCATGATTCCATGGCTCTAAACCAGGTTCTTGAGCAGGAGAAGAGTTATCACTGCCTGTGGTGGCCCCTTTGCATGAGCCTTGGTCTTGTACATCAGAGAGAAGTGAAAAGAGAAGAGAAGAGCTGGACAGACTCCAGAGCAAGACACGAAGAGCCCTCGGCCACCTGAGCCAGAAATTTTTAACTTTTCCTACTCAACAGAAGGACTGAGATGAAGATAGGACATGGAAGAGAAGTGCCCAAGAGCTCAGGACTGAGGGAACCTCGGAGAGCATTAGGAGAGTAAAAATTGGATGGATCTGGACTCACCTGGATCAGAAGGAGCTTGAGAGGCAACGGTGAGAAGCCGAGACGCCGAGGAGCTGAGTCTCTGAGAAGCTGAGACGCTGAGGACAAATGGGGATCAGGGTCTTTTATATTCTGAATTGGATTTCTCTGGAAATGGGAGGGACCTGATGGCTCAGTGCCCTGAGCGCTTGATTAAATATGAGTATTTGCACACCCCCCCCTCCTCCCTGCCGTTCTTTTGTTTGTTTTTGGAGCAGATTAATATCCTGATCTCCCTTTTGTTACTCCGTAAAAATAATACTGCCTACCACACCTGGCCCTCACATGAGTGCCGTGGGGCTGGGAGAGTTTGGGATGGTTTTTGTCACCTTTGATTGTGGCATTTACCTGTTCCTTATGCCCAATTCTGAACTGAGATGTTAGAGGGTGGGAAGGTGGGATTGTGGGGTGGGGTTGTAAAGGAAACCCAGAAATGAACAGGGAAGGGATCAAAAATGACTGTGGTGGTGGGTAGCAAAAATAACCATAATTGGACAAGGCATCAAAGAAACACTAGAAATTCTGAATAAAGTCAGCAAGGAAGCACTAAAAGCAGTGCTGGGATTTTTCAAGCCTGTCCTTTCTTTATTTTAAGGCTTTCAACCCAAACAGAAGGAATTTAAAGCCCATAGGATTTAGGCAACATTTTGGTAGGAGTGGGAGGACATTGGGATCTGCGCCATGCATGCTCTGCTTTGGGGTCAAAAGTGTCCTTGTGCCCATGGAGAGCTTGAGGTCTCATCTCGTGCCAGACTCTAGAGGCCAGTGTGATATTAAAACCAGCCTGGATTGAATGAAAATAAAACACAGAGTCCAGGAGACCCCTTGGTCCCCAAAGGAGCTGAATCACTGGAATTGATAAATGAGGAAATCCGAATTCCTCACTTGGCATATTTCACAAACATTGGGCGAATGGAAATCCTTGTGAAACTCATTATTCACGATTAATTACAGCTCTGGTTCCGTGATGGGGATAAATCTGTTCCATTGATGGAGGCAAACACCTGAGCAGGGCCCAGGGGGCACCCAGAGCTCGGGCAGGGCTGGGCACAGCATTTCTAGAAAGGCTGGCTGGGGGTTTGCCACCAGCACGTTGAGGTACCTCCCTCAGGGGTGGCGTTTTTAGGTCAAGTGGTAAAAAAAGGGAATTCTTTGTCATTAGGACTTTTTGGCTCAAAACCTCTCAGAAATTATGGATTGTGATGGCTAAAATTAAGTCACAGACTGATCCACACACAGCAGTGCCGGCTGAGCAAAGTGTTTATTTCAGCACCCATAGACAAGCTCAGGACAGGTTATAGGACACACCAGGGGAGGGGAAGGACACATTGTCCTTGGGAATTGGAAATTCCTGGGCACATGCAAAGCTTTCGGAACGTGGCACAGGATCCAGGGCACTCCTGTGGATCACCTGCAGCTGGTGGGGTTATCATTTGTCATCCGAGGGTTTTCGTTGGATGTTTTGGAGGCACACCTCCGTATTTCCATGGCAGGACGCTATGCTGGCCCCGTGGAATCCGGCTCCGCTGCTCCCATGGCTGCCAGATACGTTCCCGTAGAAATTGAATCCGCTACTGTTCACATGACAGCCGGGTCCACCACTGCTCCCATGGCTACCGGATCCACCAGTGCTCGCGTGGCTACCAGATCCGCCACTGCTCGCGTGGCTAACAGATCCGCCACTGTTTGCGTGGCTACTGGATCCGCCACCCCTCCCGGGGCTACCAGGTCTGCCACCTCTCCCGGGGCTAGCCGGTCTGCGGCCTCTCCCAGGGCTACCAGGTCTGCCACCCCTCCCGGGGCTACCGGATCCGCCACCTCTCCCGGGGCTACCAGGTCTGCGGCCTCTCCCAGGGCTAGCAGGTCTGCCACCCCTCCCGGGGCTACCAGGTCTGCCACGTCTCCCAGGGCTACCAGGTCTGCCAATGCCCGAGAAGCAACGGGATTCGCCGCTCTGCTGGGAGGAACGCTCCTCGTCCTGACGGGAGGACATGGTTGGAGACCTGCTGGGAAAACTCATCCTTGAGTGAAGGCAATGAGCAGGGACAATGCAAGTGGACCTTAAAATCCACTCACTGGTTTTAGGGACACCCCCCCACTAGCACATCCCAAGTGCCAGCCAAATCGAGTTGGATGTGATGCAAGTGGATGGGACTTGGGATGTGCTGGTGGGGGGTGTCCCTAAAACCAGTGAGCGGATTTTAAGGTCCCTTCTAACCCAGCCCTTGCCATGGTTTCATGATTCCATAATTCCATGAGTTCGCTGTTCTAAGCCAAGTTCTTGAGCAGGAGAAGAGTAATCACCGCACATCTGCCCGTGGTCATTTCTTTGGGCGAATCTTGGTCTTGTACATCAGAGAGAAGTGAAAAGAGAAGAGCTGGACAGACTCCAGAGCAAGACACGAAGAGCCCTCGGCCACGCGAGCCATGAATTTTTACCTTTTCCTACTTGGCAGAAGGAATGAGAAGGAGATAGGACATGAAAGAGAAGTGCCCAAAATCTCAGGACAGGGGGGACCCTGAAGAGGATCAGGAGAGTAAAAATCGGATGGATTTGGACTCACCTGGACCAGAAGGAGCCCGAGAGGAGATGCTGAGGAGCTGAGATGCGGAGGACCTGAGATGCTGAGGAGAAATGGGGAGCGGGGGCTTTTATAATCTTAATTGGGTTTCTCTGGAAATGGGAGGGACCTGATTGCTCAGTGCCCTGAGCATTTGGCTAATTATGACTATTTCCGCACCCCCGCTGTTGTTTTGGTTTTTTTTGGAGCAGATTAATATCGACATCCCTCTTGTTACTCCGTAGAAATATTAATTGCCCATCATGCCTGGCCCCACATGAGTGCCGTGGGACTGGGGGAGTTTGGGATGGTTTTTGTCACCTTTGATTGTGGCATTTACCTGTTCCTTATCCCCAATTCTGAACTGAGATGTTAGAGGTGGGAAGGTGGGATTGAGGGGTGGGGTTGTAAAGGAAACCCAGAAATAAACAGGAAAGGGATCAACAATGGCCGTGGTGGTGGGTAGCAAAAATAGCCATAATTGGACAGGGCATCAAAGAAACACCAAAAATTCTCAATAAAGTCAGCACTAAAAGCAGTGCTGGGATTTTTCAAGCCTGTCCTTTCTTTATTTTAAGGCTTTCAACCTAAACAGAAGAAATTTAAAGCCCGTAGGATGCAGAAAATATTCTAGGTGGGAGTCGGAGGACATGGGGATCTGTGTCTTACATGTTCTGCTTTGGGGACAAAAGTGTCTTTGCGCCCATGGAGAGCTTGAGGTCTCATCTCGTGCCAGACTCTAGAGGCTGCTGTGATATTTAAACCAGCCTGGATTGAATGAAAATAAAACACAGAGTCCAGGAGACCCCTTGGTCCCCAAAGGAGCTGAATCACTGGAACTGATAGATGAGGAAATCCGAATTCCTCACTTGGCATATTTCACAAACATTGGCAGAGTGGAAATCCTTGTGAAACTCATGATCCGTGATTAATTACAGCCCTAATTCCGTAACAGGGATAAACCTGTTCCATCAATAGAGACAAACACGTGAGCAGGGCCCAGGGGGCACCTGGGCCCACGTATGGGGCAGGATCATGCTGACCCTACAGGTGTCCCCTAGAAAGCTCCTGTTCCTTGGAGAGGCATCCCTGGATCCACAGACACCTATCTGAGTGGGAAATGGCTTTTTTTGGGGTCATTTGTTGCTTTTATGAAGGAATTGCCCTTGCAGAGGTTGGCTAAGGAGCCTTGGGGTTGTGTCACTGTCAATGTCCACTCTAAAACCCCCACCCTGCACCTGTGTTTGCTTATTCCCTTTTTCTTCTGGAGAAATCCCCACCCTGGGAGGTGGCTGATGGTGCCATGTTCCATGACCTGGTGTCAGGAGGGGATGGAGGCGTTCATCTGGGCTGGGGAGGTGCCAGGAGCTCTGAGCACGTGGTGCCGTGACTCACAGCAGCTCCACATACCTGCTTGGCCCCAGAAATCCTCCCAGGGGGTTTCTCTCCCAGCCCTACCAGAAATCTGGGGGCTTTCAGAGCCATTCCCAAGTCCTCTTCCTGGCTTTTATCCCCAGGGCTTTTTTTGGAGGTATATGGTGCCAATCCAGCTGCACCTGTCACCTTGTGGTCCCAAACAGATCCTCTGCTTTTCCCCTCTCCGTTAAAATGTGGATTTTTCTTACACAACTTCATTAATATTTAATTACCCCCTTGCATAAACACCCCGTGATGAAAACTGTTACTTTACCAACCAGGAAATTGCCTGGAGTGGGGACGAGGAGCCACCAGGTGGAACCACCCCGGAGCCTCCTTGTGAGGCCGCTGCAAACCCAGCTCTGGCCACCAGAAGGGACCAGGAGCCACTCAGAGGGATGAGGAGATAAAAACACGGACGCGAGGGGGGTTTGAGCCAGCATTTTTTAATTTATTGCCTCCACGTCTGCTGTGGAAACGAGGTGAAAAGCATTTTAAATTTCACAGCATCAGCGGGTCACAACTTCAGAGTGCGTTACAAGCAGGGGGACAGAGCGGAGATGGGTGACAAAGCAGGACAGGGAGGGGGGACAGGGACAATTCCTTTTGTTCCTCCTCACTCCTCACGTCCTTTATTTGATCTTCCGGGCTGGCACTTTGCAGACCTGCTTCTGCTGCTGGCGGGGGATGCCCTTGGCCACGGGGACACAGCCCTGCTGGACCGGAGGGGGACAGTGACAGGGACAGGTCTGGACTGGAGGGGGACAGGTCTGGACTGGGGGAGGACAGCTCTTCACTGGGATGCTCTTCACGGGAGGGGGACAGGGACAGGGACACACCTGCACTGGTGGAGGACAGGTCTGGACTGGGATACTCTTCACAGGAGGGGGACAGGGAAGGGGACAGACCTGCACTGGCTGGGGACAGCTCTGCACTGGGATGCTCTGCACTGGTTGGGGACAGCTCTGCACTGGGATGCTCTGCACTGGGGTCCCACAGCACGGCTTCCCCCCTTGGACCGCTGTCCCGTGGCACCTCTCGGAGCACACAGACCTCCCATAACCCTGGCACCCCCCTGAGCCCCCATAGCTGTACGTGGGTCTCCTGACACAGCTGGACCCTCCTCCATGGCATGAACCTGAGGAACCCTGGCACCTCTCAGCACACACAGACCTCCCATAACCCTGGCACCCTCCTGAGCCCCCATAGCTGTACGTGGGCCTCCTGACACAGCTGTCCCCCCCTCCATGGCATGAGCTGGAGTAGCCGTGGCAGCGCTCGGCGCAGCGGGGCTGTCGGTAGCCGTAGTGCCGGTAGTCGTGGCCCCTCATGCCCTCGCAACCCTCGCCGTGGCAGCCCGAGGAGCCGCCCGAGGAGCAGCAGGTGGAGTAACCGTAGCGGAAGGGCGTGCGCCGCGTGTCCAGCCAGGAACCAGAGGGGTCGTACCAGGTGGAGTTCAGGTTGAAGAAGGATTCTCTTCCTGAGGAGTAAATCATGGTGGGGATGTGGGGGAAAACCTGGAAAAGAGATGGGTTGGTGTCAGCGTCTCCTCTGATTCTGTTTAATTTCCCATGGGGTTTATCCTGAGGGCTTGGATCCAGAGGAAATTCCTGCAGTTGCCCAACGCTGGTGAGATTGCATCCAAATTCCATCCAAACCCTCTTTCTGAACTTCCCTTTCCCATTTTTCACCTCCAAGAGCAAAACCAACCACAAGGTACCACCACACGTGGTGGCACTGCTGTAAATCCCACCCCAGGTCCCTCAAGAGCTTCTCCCGCATCAGAGAGTGGTCTGAAGGTCCAGGTGTCACCTCTCAAATCCAGACCCCCCATCCAAGAAGAGATGAGCCTCACCAGATCTCAAATGAAGACAGGCACTGCCCAGGGGAGCAGAATGTGAGAGGCCAAGGGGCCAAGGGCTTTTATAGAGCTCCGAGAGTTCCCCTGAATGTGAAACACGCAGCAGGAACGAGGATTAAATTATTTATTGGCAAAACATCTCCTCCATTTGGATGCTGTTCCCAGTGCCTGGCATGTTCTGCTTGACTCACCATTTCTGATAAGCATCTTTTAATTATAACATCGCTCCCCAGCGGGGCACATAAAAGACTTGAGACGGTCTAAGCCCCATTTTGGATGTGTCAGGCAGGTAATAAAGGACTTATTCACCCTCTGCAGGGTGACCTGTGAGTCAGGAGCTCTGAGCCTCCCCTCCTGCTGCCCGTGAGGAGCATTTCCAGGTGAAGCACGAGCAGGTGATGGGAAGAGCCAGCTCAGAGTCACCAAAAGCAAATTGTGCCTGTTGGTTTCCGTGATGCTGGGGTTGGCTCTGGGCATGAGGCAGTCAGGATGGGCAGGGCCTGACACGGCTTTTCCAGGGAATTTCTGGCTGCCTCATTCCTGGAAGTGTCCAAGACCAGCTTGGACAGGGCTGGAATGGTGAGAGGTGCCTGTGGGAGTTGCAGTGAGATGATCCCTAAGGTCCCCTCCAACCCAAACCTTTCCATGATTCTCTTTCCTCCCCATTTCTTTATTCCAGACTTGCCCCTCTCCTCACCCCAAGTTGGTTTTTTCAACCCTCCCAACTCAAACCATTCCATGATTCTGTTTCCTCTCCATTTCTGCATTCCAGATTTGCCCCTCCCCTCATCCCCAAGTTGGTTTTTTGAGGTCCCTCCCAATCCAAACCACTCCACAATTCCATGGTTCTGCCCCAACTTTTGTGAGGTTTTTGTCACAATCTCCCCCAGCAGCCTCGGGGTTTAACTGGGGGAGGTCTGGACTGGGTGGATGAAAAACGTGGGGATGAAAAAGGGGCTGATTCTGGTGCTGATGGTGTTAAACACCTTCATTAAAACCCTGGATTATGGGACGGACTTGGAAAATCCTCAAATTGGGGTGAGGGGCTGGGATGGAGGAACTGGGATTGGGAACTGGAATCGGGGAACTGGGATGGGTAACTGGGATGGGGTAACTGGGATGGGGTAACTGGGATGGATGGGGGAACTGGGATGGAGGAACTGTAGGATGGGGAGCTGGGATGGGGGAACTGGGATGGGGTAACTGGGATGGGGGAACTGGGATGGGGAACTGGGATGGATGGGGGAACTGGGATGGGGGAACTGGGATGGGTAACTGGGATGGAGGAACTGGGATGGAGGAACTGGGATGGGGAACTGGGACAGAGGAACTGGGATAGGGGAACTGGGATGGGTAACTGGAATGGGGGACTGGGATGGGGAACTGGGATGGGGTGACTGGGATTGGGAACTGGGATGGGGGAACTGGGAGGGGGGAATTGGGATGGGGAGAATGGGATGGGGGAACTGGGATGGGAGAACTGGGATGGGGGAACTGGGATGGGAGAACTGGGATGGGGGAATTGGGATGGGAGGGCTGTGAGAAGCAGCTTGGGAGACAAACTGGACCAAATCAGATCTGGAAGCGAGGGCTGAGCTGGCCCTTGGTCTGTGGGCCCTGAGTCGCTGTCCTGGGAACTGGGAAGAAAATCCCTAATAAAACAAGGCCTCTCCCAAGGTAAATTTCACAGGTAAGTGGTTTTTTATTTGGAAGGAGACACGAGAAAAAGAAATTGCTATGGTGAAGAAAATGAGGATGAATTTCCCTTTTTGCCCTTCCCAGCTCTCTGTGGTGATTGTGTGAGGACATGCCCGGGTCATGCCGAGGCAACACAAAGAAATTACAAAGAAATTAAATTATTTATTTTCACGCTCTTCGCGGGAGGCTTTTTTGGCAAAGTGAGGAGAAGCAGCAGGTTACCCTTGTTCCTGCGCCTTCCTGCAGGAGCTAAAAGGCATCCCCGGCATGCACAGCCACCCCTCCCGTGCCACGCGCTCATTATCATAATTCACATGCAAATGAGGATGTGCGCTCCTCCCATTCGGGGCTGAAGGCTCAGGGCAGATGTTGGTGCCCGGCTCTGCCCATGCCGAACTCCCGGGATGGGTAAACTACGGTGGGGAAGGTTTTCCAACCTGGAGAAACCCCTGAAGGCAGAGCTGAAACCTTGATTCCGATTTAAATGTACGAGTTCCCTCGGGAGAGTTTGAATGGTTTTCAGCATCTCATTGCAATGTTGGTGGGCAAGAAAGAGAGGAACCGAGAGTTTGCTAAATTATTTTCAACTTTATTCTTGATTTTCCGACCTGGAAAAACCCCTGTGGGCAGAGCTGAAACACTGACTCCGATTTAAATGTGGGAGTTTCCTCGGGAGAGTCTGAATGGCTTTCATCATCTTCTCGTTGTGGTGTCGGTGGTCAAAAAAGAGAGGAACTGAGAGTTTGCTAAATAATTTTAAACTTTATTCTTGAATACACGGGGAGGAGATAAAGCTGCAGGAGTCTGTGATGCTCCTGCCTTTACAGTGGTTCCTTTCTTCTTGCCAAGTCCTGGAGCTGCTTCTCAACAGCCTTGGAGGTGAAGTCTAGGAGAGCAGATCCGTGGTGGTTCCTCCGTGTCCGAGCGGCCTCAGGAGGGGAAACCCCCAGGGAAAACCAAAACCCGGCAAGCGGAGGATGCCCAGAATTAAAAAATTTAAAGTGTCAGTGCCGGGGCCAAGCAGAGCATCCCCAAACCTGACGTGCAAAAAAAGCAGCAGCGAGCTCAGAGCATCCCTTGGGCCGGGGGGTGAACCCCCCAAACCCAACCAGGAGCTGGGCAGGGATCCCTGGGCTCAGTTCTTCACGCAGAGGGGCACCAGCGTCACCTGCTTCTGCTGCTGGTGGCCGGGGTGAGGCGGCAGGGGGACAACGGGGGGACAGCAGCGCTGGGAGGGCCGGGGGCAGCAGGGCACGGGCCGGGGGCAGCAGGGCACGGGCCGGGGGCACCGCTGGATGCAGGGACAGCGATGATGCAGCGGCTGCAGGACCACCGGGGGTTCCTCATCCTCCTCGGGACGTTGCTCCACTCGCCTGCGGGGCTTGCCCGGGTCGGGCTCCGGGCACGGCGGGCACGGGCGGTGCTGCTCCAGAGGCCGCCGGTGGATCCTCACGGGCGGGGGGCACACGGGGGGCACCGGGCTCACCTCCACCCGCCGCCGGGGCTTGCAGCTCTGCGGGGCTGGGCAGCAGGAGGGCCGGGGTGGGCACAGATCGCCGGGGTGGCAGCTCTGGGTGGAGCCCTCGGTATCGTGGCTGAGGGTGCCGGGGTTGGGGCAGATCTCGGGGGGGTTGGGGCAGGTTTTGGGAGGGTCGTGGCAGTGCTCAGTGGAGTTGGGTGGTGTCCAGTCCTTGTGCTGGCACAGGTCGTGGTCGGTGCCACCTTTGTGCTGGAGCATCCTGGGGCAGAGATCACAGAATCGGGGAGTTATTGAGGGTGGAAAAGAATTCCAAGGTCATCCAGTCCAGCCTGTGATGGACAGCCCAGCCTGTGATGGACAACATCACCCAGCCAGGAGCACTCAGTGCCACACCCAGGAATTCCTCGGGCATCTCCAAGGATGGAGACTCCAAAGCTCCCTGGGCAGCCCCTGCCAAGACCTGACCCCTTTCCAGGAGGAAATTCCTCCCGAGTCCAACCCGAGCCTGCCCTGGCACAGATTCTCCCCTCCTGTCCCTGTCCCCTAGGAGCAAAATCTGACCTCCCCGCTGTCCCCTCCTTGTGCAGAGCCCAAAATTCCACCTGAGCCTCCTTTTCTCCAAGCTGAGCCCCCCCAAAAATCCCTCGGGAGCTGCTTCTCCCATGACTCACAAATCCTTTGAGGGTGACCAAGCCCTTGGGCATAAACAACCTGGGAAAACGCAAACAAAAAATCGACGCCTCTTTTTTGTTTCTTTGTTTTTTTTTAGTATTTCCAAGGAATTGGAGAGAATCCAACTCACCCTGCGAGCAGAAACGGACGGGCTGAGCAGGGAATCGGAGTCCTGAGCACAGAGAGCCGGGGCTGGAAGCTTTTATATGGGCCGAGCTGTGCAGGGAATGAGGCACGTCCTGGGAATGAATAGCTGAGCACTGAGGCCTCTGCCGTGTGTGTGTGTGTGTGTTTGTTCCTGGAGCTCTCTGTCGGGTTAATCAGCCCCAATTAACGCCTGGCCTGGTGTGGGCAGTGTTCTGCAGAGGCTGTGGCCATTATCTCATTAGTCCTGGTCGTGCTCGGATGGGCTCCTGCCCCGCGTTAGTCAGACGGGATCCCGGGATGGGATGCGGATACCTGGGATGCCGGGATGCTGAGTGATGTGCCCAGAAGGGGACTCTGGTGGAGGTGGGAAAACCACAAAAAAGCCCAGGAGTCCTTCCAGAGGAACGGGAGGGAATCCAGGCTGGGCCCCAGCACCGGGTGTGAGATGGAAAACCGGGATTTCTGGGGGAAACGGGCAGAGGGGGACAGTGGCAGTTTGAGGATGGGATGTTTGGAGGTTTATTCCCTGATTTAAATGGATTAAATTAAATTAAATTAATTCTTGTAGCACCTTGGCTACGGCAAGGAAAAGCCTTTTATGTGTGGAGAATCTGGAATGGGGACACCAGAGGAGCGAT